TGTCCGCCAGGTGGCTGAGGGACAGGCCGGCGCCCGGAGCTGCTGGCTAAGGGGCGGGAGGTAGGCTGTTAGATTTTCTTGAATGTCCGTATTCAAGGGCACATGGCAAGGAGCCCACATTTGGGAGGGAGGGAGGAGGAACTTGGGGGACAGGGGAACAGGACCAGCTCTGGCGGAAAGTTACCACGAGAGCTAACTTGATCTGCAAGAAGAAGGTTCTAGGCTCCGGCCGCAGGGGCAGCTGTGTGGTGGTGCTTGTCGCCATTCATGTTCGACTCTGTTACCAAAGTGAAAAGCGGAAGATGAATGGTATCGGAGGGTCAGTGAAACACTTAGTCGCCGCATCTGAGTCACGCACGGGGCGGCCCGGTCTCTCAGTGCCCAGACCTGCCTGTGACGCGGCAGAGCCAACATCTGTGCCCTGCTGACCTCAGAAAGGGCTGAGGAAAGGCTCCTGCCAGCCCCTCGGCCTGCTCTCAGCTCTTGGGTGAGAGACGTTCCTTGGTCCAGCACGGGGTCGCCATCACCGTCACCTTCCCGGTGTGGGCTGGCGTGTCGCTCTTGAGAGCTGGTTCATCGTGACATGGGGGATGACCCTGTCCCATGTGGGTTTGCTTGTTGGAGCGCTCCGCAAAACCCAAAGCACAGAGACAGAACAGTGCTCACGCTCGGCGTGGCCACGGCGAGAGGCCCAGGGGGGCTCGCGTGGAAGCGTAAAGCCCGCCGTGCGCACGCTCTGCACCCCGTGTAGCCTCCTGTGCTGTGGGGTCACACAGCGTGTGTGCCGCCCCCTTTCCATACACTCAGCTCCCATCGGCCTGCACCCCCAAAACCGGGGTGGACCGCCAGGCTCACCACCACACCCGCGTCCCCACCTGTCCCTGTCCCCCGGTGGGGCAGCAGGAACTCCCGGGCTGGGGGTCTCTCACTTCCTGCTGGGGTCCGGGAACAAACCCCCTTCACCTGGGCAGTAGATGTGTCCCAAAGGCTGTAAGTAAATCAGAGGTCGAGACGTCACACCCCGGAGTTACACCCTAACCACGGGCGCCTCTCCGGTCCGCGTCAAGTCACTGGTGCTGGATACACTTCCTGGGAGTGTACACGGGGGCGACCCCCACGATGGGTCAGCACCGCCGGGGAGGTGTACAAGCCCCTCCGCAGAGACTCTGAAATGACCTCGCGGGTAGCAGGGAGAGCGCAGGTGTTGTCCCACCCAGACGGGTCCCTGTGGGTGACAATGTTCTGCCTGCCGACAGCTGCCACGCTAAGCGATAAATGACGCCAAAGAACCGCTTCGCATCAGGAGCGCTTGTCTTCTCCCCGTGTCCCTGGTGCATTTCTGTCCCCCGTCCGCGCTGGCGGGACCCGTGGGGCAGGTCGGGCTCGGAATTCGCCGGCTGTGCAGCCTCCGCTGACATTTCCGCGCCCTTGTTTTTTCCAGATGTTCAAAGGACCTGACAAGGACATAGAGTTTATCTACACGGCCCCCTCCTCGGCCATATGCGGGGTCTCGCTGGACGTTGGAGGGAAGAAGGAATATCTCATTGCAGGTGTGTGTGCGGGCACTGACGGGAACATCCTTAGAGGCTTGTCGGGTCTGCGTCTCCCGGCTCCAGGGGCGGGCAGGTGGGCAGCCTGAGAGGCAGCCTTAGGATAGAGCCTTAATGAGAAGAAACAAAGTAAACCGATAGTCATAGGAAATTCAAGGTCAGGCGTCACAAAGAGGTGAGAACTTTTGCCCTTTGATCCTGAAAGGGAGCCTTGGGCAAGGCTGGTCAGGAGGCGGGAGGGAGGGTTGAAACCTTGTTTTAAATCTGTTGGTGCTGTCAGGGCCTCTCCCTGGTTCAGCATCTCTTTTTCTATTGAGGCAAAATATACATAACATAAAATCTGCCGCTGAAACCATTGTTAAGTGCACAGTTCTGTGACACTGAGGACAGTCACGGTGTCGTGCAGCCGTCACCACCATCTCCAGGACTCTCTCGTCTTCCCAAACTGAGTCTCGGCCCCACTGAACAGAGTCCCCAGCTCCTGCCCCAGCCCCCGGCGACCTCCGGTCCACTTTCTGTCTCTACGAATGTGACTATTCCAGGGCCCTCACATGAGTGGAATCATAGAATGTTTGTCCTTCAGTGTATCGCGATGATCTCTAGATCCATCCGTGGTGTAGCAGGTGTCAGGATTCGTTCCTTTTTAAGGCTGAATGATGTTCCGTTGTCTGGATGGACCACATTACGTTTATTGTTGCATCTCTCTTTTTGAACTATGTTTGTAAATAAAGCATCTTTCTTTACTTCTTTCTCCTGCCTCTGTGACCTGCCCAGCCAGGCGGAACCCCGGGAGTCCAGAGCCCGGTTCCTCGGCCTCGGTGCCGGTGACATTTGAGACGAGGTCATTTTTTGTCACGGGGGTTTTTCTACACATTGCGGGACATTTAGCTGCATTCCCGGCCTCTACCCACTAATCGCCATAACATCCTCCCTACCAGCTGTGGGGTCTCGAGACATCACCTGATGTCCCCTAGAGGGCAGAACTGCCCAGCCTGGAGACTGGTCCGGTGACAGTGGAAATGCTCTACGTCTGTGTTGTGTAGTGTGACAGCCACGCGCGGCTGTTGAGCGTATGGGCCCGTGTCCATGGCTAATGCGACTGAGACACGGGGGCTTTCCTTTAAGTGTAAATGTGACCCCTCGTGCGGCTGGTGGCCACTGGACTGGCCAGTGCTTGTCGGGCAGTAAGGGACACTGCTGCCTGCTGTGTAGGGGAGGTGGGTGGGGTCAGATCACAAACTGACAGGAAAAGCCGTCAGGAGGGACAGCTGCCCTACACTGACAATGTGTTTTGCTCCAGGGTCCAAATTTAATCCTGAAAATTAAGTCCAGATCCAAATCTCCATGATTTGGAGGATTTCCTTCTGTTTAGGTCATTTGTACCTTTTCCCCCTCCGCTGAGAATATTCCAAAATCGACACATCTAGCAGGCGCCCGTGAGTGCCCGGCCCTGTGCTTGGTGCGGCGGGAGCTCGGCAGGGGGGGCCCTGAGAAGCAAGCGCGTGTCCCCACTGCGGGGGTCGGGAGGAGGAACGAGAGGCGATGAGACAGGCTTTGTGTGGGAGCGGACGGAGCAGTGAGCGGGTGCTTAGAGGGTGCAGAGAGAGAGAGAGAGGGAGGGAGAGAGACCCTCGAAGGTGCAGGACCCAGACGTCGTGTCTGGAAAAGATGCCGACCTCGGCGCCGGGCGGGAGGTCGCTGCGGTGAGGACGGTGCCCGGGCAGCGAAGGGGACGCGGGGACTTCTCGACGGGGACTTCTGGTTTCCTACTCCCTGCACCCAGACTTTTGTTCTCTCCTTGGAGATGAGGGACATTTTTTCTTCTTTTACGGGCACGTCTGAACATCCTCAATTTCTCGTTAAGAGCATCTGTTGTTTTTAACAGTTTTATTGTGATGTAATTCACACACCATACAGTTCACCCACCGCAAGCGTGTAGGCCGATGGTTTCGGTGACGGGACAAAGGCCTGCAACCATCACCGCAGTGCAGGCCTGTTAACCCTTAGCCGCTCCCCCCCGACCCCCGTTCTCCACCCACCCTGGCTCTTAGCGACCACTCATCTGCTTTCCGACCCCCGGCCCCCGCTTCGGTATTAACGGACTCGTGTGATATACCGTGTGGTGCTTCGTGTCGACCTCTCTTGCTCATGAGTTTCCACTGGAGGACGCATCACGTTTCGTCTCCCCGGTCATCATTTCCCGGCCGCTGGGGCTGCGTCCACCGCTGGCCTGTTATGAATGATGCTGCTGCGAACATTCGTGTACGAGGCTTTGCGTGGACGTGTGTTTTCATTTCTCCCGCACGGACGCCCGGGAGTAGAATCGCAGGACATATGGTGACTCTGTGTTTAATCATTTGAGGAGCTGCCAGACTGTTTTCCAAGGCAGCAGCACCGTTTTTCCATTCCCAGGATCTACTATTTTTGTAAGAAAAATAACATCGCACGGAGAGAGGAGTACAGGGACAAAAATCAGCTTACGTCCTGGCTCTGCCGTCACGGTAGCATGGGAAGCGGCGAAGGCAGAGGGTTGCATGGTGCGTGGGGCACGGGCGGGCGCCCACCGGGGCGGGGTGAGGAGGATGCTTCGGCGTGAGCACAGAACAATGCGGAAGGAAGTCAGCCCGCCCGTTGGCGTTAATTATGTCTCCTTTTTTCTGCTTTCCTGTATTTGCTAAGTTCTGCAAATTATGACATCTGTTACTTTTATGATCCAAAAAATAAGATCTGCAGAGAAGAGAGAGGAGATGAAACGTCTCGTGGTGCAAGGAACTTACAGCCCTAACAAACCAACGGCTTCTGGTTTTCTGCCCTTTTTGGCCGGGTGGGTAAGGAACCCCAGAGAGAGCTCGGGCTCCTCACATCGCCCTCTAGGGGCTGTCTGGCCAAACTGCAGAGCTGCGGAAGCACTGTTTAAAGGAGGGAGGGGTGGGGTCCCCTCGTGGTGGCTCCAGGGTGGTAAAGTGACCTTGGTCTGGGTTCAGCACCTCCCCGTCAATAGGAATCGGATGCCCTTTTCCTGGCACTGATGTTCTCCAAGTGCTTTTCATGCCGATTCCATTTAGTCCTTGCGACCCTCTGTGATGAAGGCACTATTGTGATCCCCACTTTTCAGATGAGGAAAACTAAGGAATAAGGAGATGGAGCCGGGAGCCCCAGGTGCACCAGATAGATATGCCTGACCCCGTTTTCATGAACTGATTCTTAGATGTTGGCTGACGTCGTGTTGGTAGCTTAAGATCAGCCCGCGTGGGAGTGTGTGCACCGCAGGCGTCGGCAGATGCTACACGCTGCATCCTTTCCTCCCAATTGGCCGCTCATGGGCCACTTCTCGTCACACCTCAGCCTGGGGCATGCTGCGGGGGGTAGTGCAGCCAGCACGTGACCCTAGTCTTCCCGACTCCCAGTCTCTTACATCCCCCTGTGGCTCATTCAGTCCTGGCTTCAAGTCTCGATGCCCCAGCTCTCGCCCAGCGGTCCTCCGCCCGCACCGCTCACTGCACTGCCACAGGGAGTGAGTTCGCAAACATCCTGGTGCTCGGGCCGACCCCCGGCCAAGTCCTGTGGTATCTCTGGGGCTGGGGCCTGGGCATCAGCATTTTTAAAGCTCCCCCCAGGAAAGTCTGGCGTGCAGCCAGGACTGACAGCCAGCTTCTAGTGAGAACCTTTCGTGCTCTGGGTCAGAGGCAGACCTTTCATCCGCGAGGTGCTGAGTAGCCGGTGAGCACGTACTCAGGAGGGCTGCGCCCAGCGGCCGAGGTCGGTCAGCTCCCTTGCAACGGGACTCTCTCGACATAATCTTAATCTTCTGTGGCCCTTCGTGGTCAGTATCCTAACTGGTCACGGAGCATAAGATCAACAAAAGGCATTTCTCATGGTGGCTGGCTCGCCCGCCACAGAGGAACCTGCCTAATCCGGCTTCCTCCCCAGGCTCAATGACATTAGCCCGGGTCCGACCTGGTGCTGACTTTCTGAAGCACAGATTCCAGATCGTTCTCTCCTGGAGTCGGGATGGGCTAACCAGAAATCACGGGGTGCAATAAATCGCTCTGCCAGCACTGGCTGCAGCCCTGCAAGCGACCACACAGCCCGAGGCAGCCCACTTTTCTCGGGCTGATGACTCAACGTCACATGCCGAGTCGGCCCCAGGAGACACTTGTGTGTTCAGGATTCTTTATGGAATCGGCCCTGTGGATTTATTCTGCAGTCTTCTCTTCCAAAAGGCAAAGTAAACATACACTCTCAGTTACAGACGTTAGCGAGTTCCTGTCTCTCCGTGTCTAAGAGCGGCTTTGCTTTGTTTCCGAGGCAGACGTGAGTAGAATGTTGTAACAGACGCTCACACCAAGTCTCAGTTGTCTCTTAATGTTCCGAGATGCTCCCCCATGTATGCATGACATCCCAAGTTCACGTTCGCCTGGGAACTAGGGCCGTTGAGAAGGTACAGTTTGCATTTCGTCACCTCGTCCCGCCTTTGCTTCCTCTCTGCGGAAGCTCGAACTGGTGGTGCAAAGGTCAAAAGCGAACGTCGTCATCGGGAACGTTTTACTGAGCAGTTACTGCAAAGCGAGGGACTGTGGCCAAAACAGGACCAAGACGCAGCCGGTCGTCATCAGGAACGTTTTACTGGAGGGACTGTGGCCAAAACAGGACCAAGACGCAGCCCCTACCTTATGCGAATGAAGGACCAAGATACCTAAGGACGACGAGCAGTAGAAAGGGGGACGTTGATGCCAGACGAGGGCACAACAGACGTCGCTCGAGAGGGTCAGAGGGCAGAACCAGAATGGAGCTCAGCCCATCCGCGGAGAATGTCAAGGCTGGGCAGGGGAAGGGCGGTAAGACACCTGCACAGGTAGTAAATGCCGGAGGAACCCGGGATGGAACAGCGACTTACTGGCCATCTGCCAAGTGTGCTCCTTCCTTAGTTACCCTGAACTCCCAGGAAATGGCTACGGGTCTAGAAGAAAAAGCCAAAGATCTACTTTTGAAGTGGCGAAGGCCACCTAAACACTTCTTTCTAGTTCTTAGGATTCAGCATACGTGCCGCAGTGGTAATCCCGCCTCTCCATCCATCAACTCCCTTTCCTCCCCTGGAATGTTACGCTAGGCCAGTCGGATACAAGGAGAGGCAGAGCCCCCGGAGCTAAGGAACGGGGAGACAGAAGCGAGGACATAGGATTCATGTCCAGGGAGTGCTTCCCGCCACCTGCCCCGCACACACGATGTCACCTGTGCCCAGTGCGGCCTCGGGCAGGCCGGTCTGTTTCTTCCAGAGATAGATCACAGTGCCATTTATGCCGGCAGGGGACAGGGCACAAGCCGCATGATTACTTCATCAAGTACGTTTCTGTTAGCGGATTTTCCGCTCCGGCGCTGTGCCTGAGGCCACTCGGCTGGATGCACTGAAGCTTTGTCACGTTGGCGGGGTGGTGCTCAGGGGCAGCCCAGGCTCCTGTCTGCCTCTGGGGTGCTGGGCCCTGGTGCTCATCGCTAGCATTACTGCCATCCTGGCAGGAGGGGTGCGGTTTCACATCACCTCTGTGGCCCTCGTGAGGTTCTGTCACCCACCAGAATACGCTCGTTCGTCTTTTTCTCCTGCCCAGCTAACGACAAGGCTGTCGCCAGTGTGAGCTCTTCAGCAAAGGCGGGGCGGGGGTGGGGTGGGCCGGGAAGCTGAGGTGGGAGAGATGAATAGCACCTCGGCATCCCCACGAATTCAGAGCAGATTTCCACTTTTATAAAATTCCATGTTCTTGCTGTTCATAATGGAAAAACCCAGAATGGAGGGTTTCTTCAACATCAAATGCAGGAACTGCACGTGAATAAACGTTTGATGAAAACCAGTACAATCTACATACAACGTGATCTTCTGTATATCAGCACGTGTGCATAAAAGAATATTAGGAAATACGTCGAAGTGTTAGCTGCAGGTAATGGGTGTAAATAGGGAGTTTTTTAAAGTTATTTTTTGCTTCTCAGTCTTCTACAGTGAGCATGCATTCTCTTAGACTCGGAGTAAACAGTCCGTGGTGTGTTAGTCTGCTCGGGCTCCTGTAACAAGATAGCGCGGACTGGGTGGCTTAAACCACAGCCATTTATGTCATCACAGTCTGCAGGCTGGAAGTCCAAGGTCACAATGTCGCAGGGTCGTTCCCCCGAGGCCTCTGTCCTCGGCTTGCAGACGGCCGTCTTCTCCCTGCGTCCTCACGTGGCCGTCCCTCTGTGTGTCTGTGCCCTCATTGCCTCGTAAGGACACCAGTCACACTGGATCAGAGCTCGCCCACCCTAATGACCTTATCTTACCTTAATCACCTCTTTAAAGACCCTCTCTTCAAATACCATCGCATCACGTGCTGGGGGTTTGGGCTTCATTATATGAATTTAGGGGGGACACAGCTCAGCCCACAGCATACCGTATTGTTTGAATTAACCTCCACCTGCCTGAGCTGCATCCAGATGCGGGAGGTGGGCAGAGGAGGGGAGGAACTTGTCACTTACCCTGAGCTTGGTGACCCCCGTCTCTCCTCAGGAAAGGCCGAGGGGAACGGCAAGATGTACATTACCCTCTGTGACTTCATCGTGCCCTGGGACACCCTGAGCACCACCCAGAAGAAGAGCCTGAACCACAGGTACCAGATGGGCTGCGAGTGCAAGGTAAGCTGGCATCGTCTCCTTCCAGGCTTCCCCTCCTACCGCCGCCTCCAGTGGGGCTGCCCGGGTTTATCCCTGGCCTTCCAGGGCCTCTCACTCCACAGGGGCCTGGCTTAGGACAGGGACAGAGCCTTTGGGCCCTGGGCCCTGCAGAGCCCTGAGACACGCCTCTGCCAGGAGTATCTGGCTGTGTGGCCTGTAGCTTCCAGGAAGAAGAAGTTCATGGGGAGAACATTCTCCTATGAGTCTTTCTCTAGGTGCAAAGACTCGTATGTCTTGTGAAAGTGTCCCAGGTGTGACACTTTCGCCAACTTCCCGGCCGTTCCCACGCGTGGGTCCTTGCAAACGTGAGGGTCTGTGTGTGTCGAATGCCCGAGACCCCAGCCCCGCCTCCTGAAAGCGGCTCAGTGGCCGTGCCAAGCCCAGGGAGAGCAACGTTGACACAGGGCCATGGGTGAGCCGTGCTCCACGGTCCCCGGCCCTGGAGCCTGTCATCGGACACTTCCCGTCCCCGCATCTCTCCCTGCCAGCCCCAGCACAGGAAGCACTGCTGGGTACCAGGCGCCCCTCTGTGTCACCATTAGTGAGGCTGGGTCCCGAAGGTGCGGGGCCGCTGGGACTGGCCGGTGCCGGTTGGGTCTGCGTGCAGCCCTGCCGTCCATCCTCCTGGGTGGCCATCAGCCCAGCCCTGGCTCCTTCGAAACGTGGATTCCGACCCACAGCTGCACGTACGTTGAGCAGACTCCTCCGTGTCCAGCATGAAATCGGAAACACGTCCTGCCTGTTTCCGTGCGTGGCCGTGACGGCTTCAGGCTGCGGGCTCGGGGTCCTCAGCCGTGCACGCGGCCCCACTGAGCCGCGTGCGTGACTGCACCGTGCCGAACCTTTCGTTTCGCTCGCCCCGTCTCTGTCTCCAGGAAAGAAACGGAAGCCTCGTTGTTGTTTATTGTTGTTGTTGTTGTAATTGTTGCTGTTAGACCCCCGGGAGGGTGGGAGGGAGCTAAAGCCATGTCCCCACACCCAGAGAAGGCGACCGGCTGGCCCAAAGCCGTGCGGTAGCTGGGGGGCAGAGGCCCTGCACGGGGCTCCCCCAGGCTTCGTCTCCCCTTGGGCAGGCCACCTACTGCTGTCTGGAGAGCAGGGGGCGTCGGCGGGGCTGCTGATGGAGTGGGTTCTGCTCCAGTCCCAGGCCCCGCCCTCCCCGCTTCACTCACTGGGTCATTCATTCAGCAAAGCGCCCTGACCGCCTGCGCCTGGCGCACCGCTGGGGTCTGGGGGTGCCCCCGCGCGGCCTCAGCCCTCCACCAAGTCCACCTCGCGCCCCTCTTCCTAGATCACACGCTGCCCCATGATCCCCTGCTACATCTCCTCTCCGGACGAGTGCCTCTGGATGGACTGGGTCACGGAGAAGAACATCAACGGGCACCAGGCCAAGTTCTTCGCCTGCATCAAGAGAAGCGACGGCTCCTGCGCCTGGTACCGCGGAGCGGCGCCCCCCAAGCAGGAGTTTCTCGACATCGAGGACCCGTAAGCCGGCCGGCAGCACCCCTGTGGCCAACGGAAAAGCCTCCAAGAGTGTAGACTGGTCCAGCTCTGACATCCCTTCCTGGAAATAGCATGAATAAAACAGTCATCCGAGTGGGTCTAAATTAGTGTGATTCTCCTCCCCGCCCCGTTCCCCTTCCCTCTGTGGTTGTGGATCTCGAGGGAGAGGCTCGTCCACACTGCACCTGCCAGCCTGGGCACTGCGTCTCAGCCTTCGGTCCTGGGGTGCGGGCAGGGCTAGGACACGCAGGCTCCCCTCCCAGGCTCGGCCTTGGCACCGTCACAGACGCTGAGCACGCAGCACCTAGCAGTCCCCTTGGCCTGGTCAGGGCAGAGCCTGGAAATGTGCATTTTGTAGAAACTTTCGAGGGTCGTTGCAAGACTGTGTAGCAGGCCTACCAGGTCCCTTTCATCTCGAGAGGGGCACGTCCCTCGTTTCCTGCAGCTTCCACACCTCTGGCCCTAGGGTGGCTGTCCCTGCCCTTTGCAAGTGCCCTACCCACCCCCCAGTCTCCCTGTGCCGACCACAGACTCCCAGCACCCGTGACTCTTGTATTCCAGAAGCATCCCGGACCAGTGGCTCATTCTCTGAGGAGCCCCCATTAATCTTGTTCATCCGCAGAATTCCAGTGGGCGCCTCCCTCCGGGGCCTTGTAGAAATGTGGGAGCAGCAAGCGTCAGCCCGCTCATTTCGGTGCCCCCCCCACACACACACGTTCCCCAACCCTTAGGGGAATGTGCCACCTTCTGCCCTGAGGACGGATGTGTGGGGGACGCTTGGCTGCCCCGTGGTTTATTCTTGAGCTTCCGAAGTCACTCACGCCTCCTCCTCTTCCTCATTCCGGCTTCGGATGTCTGGATGGAGCGGCATGGATTGGCTTTGCGGGGTGTCGTGTGTGGCCAGTGGCATGAGCTAGCTGTGCTCTCCTCGTGCATATCCTGAGGACATCAAAAGCCAGGTCCTGCTGAGTCCCCTAACACACCTCAGAGCCCCACCTGAGCAGGTTTAGTATGAACCCCCCGCTCAGAGACTGACAGTCCCCGCGCTGTGCCTGGATTTCCGCGAGGAAAGTCAGCTAAGTGTCCGCCTGGCGGCGGGGATGCATTGTGGCGGTAGGTGGCTTCGGCGAAACTCATTTCTTCTGGGGCCTCCAGGCCACTGGCTGGCTGTATGAGACATCTCGTTTGTCTAAAGAGAGCATGCGAACCCGAGCTGCAGGTGTACCAACCTCCGCTTCTATTTCTGATGTTACAAAGATGTCTCCGTTAAGAAACTTCACAGGGAACTGGGGAACCTGTTTGTTCCCTAAAAATAGTCTCTGATGCCAGCAAAATGGGGGTTAACACGGGCAGAAGTTTCTCAGTAACAGTCAAGAAAATCTCCTTTTTCTTCCTACTCGTGTTGAAAAGGTAAACCTCTGAGTTTACCGTGCACGTGGCGTGAACACGCACATATGTGCACACGTGCTCATATGCACACACACGAAAGGAAACCGAGGTCTGTCAGCCTCTGAGTGGTCCTTCCGCAATGCCTGCCAGTCACCATCTCCTAAGCCCGCGCCATTCTGCGGTGACCCCAAAGCACCCATAAGACTCCTGACCCCCAAGCGGCATGCAGCCCCTATGCCTGCCCGGGACCCGGTCAGCATAGATGTTGATGACTTCCCTTTCCAGGGCAGACTAGAAGTCCAGGAATGAGCCCCAACCAAGGGCGCTTTCATGCTGTACAGTGATCAAAAGTCTGTGAGGTGTTGTAATGGACCAGTCCACGTGATGTCAGTGTATACAAGACCACCGGACCCTCCCACCAGTATAACGGCCCACCCCACCCCCCGTTGTGCTCCCCGGATGGTGTTATCATACGTAACATTTACTCCTGTTTCTGCTGGTTTTTTAAATGTTTTGGTTTGTCTCTGACATCGGTTGTAATCATTCCCGTGCTGTGTTTTTTATTACCCTTGGTAGGTGTTAGATTCGCACTGTTATTTTTTTAAAGGTTTCTGCATCGGGGAAGCATATGGCCCAGAGTGGAAAACACGGCGTGGTCCTAGCTCTGCTGGCGGCCCCTTCGGCTCGTGGTTTTAGTTCTCGGAGTATCTTTGCCTTTTCCCACCTCCATCTTGTGTTCTCCGGTTCCAGTTATTACTGAGTAAAGCATCTTCGAGTCGGTTGGGTCTGAAACACGGCCGTTACGGTCAATGCACGCACATCGCCCTGTCAGCCGCGCTGAGTAGAAAAGAGAAAGAAAGATCGAAACAAAGTGGCCAGTGGCAGCCGGGAGAGGAAGCCACTCAAATGCCTTCACAGTAAATAGTTGCAATATAGATATAGTGAAGGAGGCTCTCCATTCGGCATTGTTTAATTTATATATTATATTCCAAGCACCGCGCGTCTGCCTCTATTCTCGTCCTTCATGCAAGCAACTCAAAATATTTAAAATAAAGTTTACATTGTAGTTACTTTCGAATCTTTGCTTGATAAGTGAGAAGAAATATCGGACTCGCTGCCGTAATTTAAAGCTTTGTTCATTTCGTGTGGTTTTGTTTGGATATTTTTTTTGTTTCGTTTTTATTTTTTGACTTTGGGGCAATGTGTTTTTGCTGGAACATGAAGTCTGAGACCTTCCTGTGCTGGGAACACGAGAGCCGTTGAAAGCCGACAAGCAGACTGCGCATGTCTCTGATGCTTTGTATCATTCTTGAGTGATTGCTCGGTCAACGGACAATAAACAGTATTATCAAAGAGAACTGGGCTCTCTCCGTGTGGCTGTGTCCAGCGTTCAGAGCTGCTGCTTTCTAGCTGAGAAACGGAGGCAAACGCCTCGAAAGGAACCTAGGGTTGGGGTTGGCGGGGGGGCGGGGGTGAGGGAAGAGGTGATTTGTCCCCCAGAGAAACAGGCCTTGGTGCTCTGAAGTGAACACAGATGTGACAAGAGATGGGCAGATGCCGTGAACGGGATTTTCTGAAATTGGCAAACGATAGGAACATTGGACAGGCCCCTCATTCATTCAGCATGGGAGGCTCACTTTCCGCTCACACACACACACGCACACACACACACGCACACACACGAAAAAGCGTCCACCTCGCGTCTCCGACAGTGAGTGATTCACGCCGTCTGCCCTCCCCGCCACACCCGCTCCCCTCGTCACCCTGCCCGAGATAACGGGGAAGGGAAAATTCCAGACATCACACCGTTTCACCTCTAAATGTTTTGGTACCTATCTCTAACAAATAAGCGCTGTTTACAAACAGTCCCATGATACTTTTATCGCACCTTAAGAACTTTAGAATCCACGAATGTCATGGGACGCCTGGTCAGGGGCCCGCCGCCTCCGATGGTCTCGTGAGCGCCTTCCGTGCGGGTTATCGGTTTGAATCAGGATCCCGGTGAGTCGCGTGCATTGCAGTCGCTCCCTCAAGCCTCTTACTCTGCGGGTCCCCCGTCCCCGCTCCGTTCCCCCTCTATCTCTTGTGCTGGGGAAGATGGCCCCATCATAATCTAAACCGAAACCCAGTGTCATATTACTTCAAGTCACCATATGAAAATTCTCGAACAGTATGTTCGAACATCTGCCCGCCCCCGGCCCTTGCGTAGAATTTGTTATTTCAGGGATATGCCAGAAGACGGTGGCCCGTTTTGCCTAATCCTCAAGATCAAACTTCCTGATGCTTTTCCGAAGCAGTAAAGCATTCATGGGACGAAGTTTGCACAGATATCTCTGCCACGAAGCATTAAATGGCATCCATTTAATATCACTGACTACAGCAATATTTGCATTGTTTTTCCCATATGATGAAATATGTGGAGAAAATGGTTCACAGTGGCAAAGTCGAATAATAAGACAAAAACTTTCCATGTCATACAGATGGTCTCACTTAGCATTTGTGCCTGTCCCGACTCGCAGGGCACATTTGGGGTCTCGGCAAACAACACATCAGGCAATTGCTACCCATTTTCTTTATTTTAGGTATTTAGGTCAAACGTGACTTTTTTAGAAACACTTCTCTTCGTGGACACGTTCAAATGTACACAAAAATGAGAGGATGTTATAACAAACTCCACACACCCATGGTCCGGTTTAGACAATTATCCAAGTTTTCTCGATCTCTGCAAACAATTTTAAGTCAGTTTGAAGGTCCATACATGGGGCGACCAGATTGTTGGGTATACTATTCTAGCAGACACCATTGTTTGCCCCTCAGTCTTGCTCACTCTGTGAAAGAAAACGTGGGGACAACCGAGGACAGTCCGGCTCTCTTGTCAGGACACCCGACAGACACACGTGGGTTCAAAGTGGAAACGCAGCAGAGGGCCTCGCAGGACCCGAGTCGGAGGGACCGCGGGAAGCGGGCGCGGGAGCTACCAGGACCGGCCGGAATACTTTGGAAGTGTGCGTTAGCACTATCTTCCCCTCCTGACTTCCAGCGGATGTGTTTACCTGATCTACCTTAAAAAAAAACAACTGTGGAGTTACAGAGACTTTGCTAGGGTCAGTTTTATTACGGGCGATTTGCTGTTTCCCTAGGTTTTGCATTAAAACTTTGACGTTCACGAACAGGCCTACCTCCAGCCTCAGGTTCAAGCTTTGGTGACCCACAGCGCACTTTGTCATGTGCAGGCACCTCGAATCATCTCGTGGTGAAAGACGGTGCTTTGATTTGGGGAAATCATTTAACTTTAATTATAGTTTTTCTCCTCCAAGAAACAAATTGCGGGGCGGGGGTGGGGCGGGGAAGACATTCAGAAACAGTGAGCTCAGTCTGGACGCTTTTCACGCTGCCATGACTGGGAGAAATGTTTCATTCCAGTTAAAACCCAAACTTGAGACAGACCCGGAGTCTGCAGATGGTGCTGTGGCCGGTCACGGAGAGGGAGGGCGGGTGTTAGGAGGATTTGGGGATGGGACCCAGGACGGGGCACAGAGGTGATGCCGCATCCATGTTACCTAGAAATAAAGAAAGCTCAGAGTTTTAAGTCTTGCTCCGCCCCTTCAAGCGGAGTCAAGGGCAGGGATCCACCAGGAGCAAGATTCCAGCTAGAGAGCTGGTTAGAGACTTGGCCTCGAGGTCCTGATGGGCGACGGTCACTCCAGACTCCCAGAAGGAAAGCAGGTGTTCAGCATCAACACACCTTGAGGCCCGTGAGCCATTCCCACCAGGGGATGGGGGCCCCTCCCGAAATCTACCTTCCCGGACACCGACCCGGAAAGCGGACCCGGTAAGCCAGCTTCCGGCGGAGCACAGTCTCCGGCCTGCTGTGGTGAGTCTTTGTCGCATGCAAGTCCTGACCATTTCATGATCTGTCCCCCAGCCCAGGGGACTCTGCTCCTAAGCTGCGTAGGACCCTCAACACCTCTAGTCATTCCAATTTTAGCTAATGCTCACTGCCCAGCAGCACCGGCGCTCAGGGTTTGACCTAGGTTATCTCATTTAATGTTTAACAACTCTGAGAAATGGGTCGTCTTATCTTCCCTATTGGACAGATAAGGAACCTGAGGTGTGGGAGGTCGAGTTACCTGGCCACCAAGCCAGTGAGCCCTGGAGCTGGGATTTGAACCCCAGCAGGGGCAGACTCCCAGGCCCAGCTCTTCAGTGGCACCTGCTCCTGCCCTCCTCCCTTGGCACCTCTAAGGCCCACGGTCTGGCACAGAGATGCGGCTCATGGGGAAGCAGCTTACCCTCCACAGATCGGATCGTCCCCCGCCCAGCGGCAGGTGGGGACACTGCCTGACATTGCACACAGATGAATAAGATGTACAACTGGCCCTTAAGAGTCATGGTGGGAGGGGGAGGAGTCCAGAGAGCATTCCAACTGAATGTTTAAGTGGAATGTGCGGGCCAGCCCCAGGCAGTACCAGCCTCATGGCATGGATGGAAGGAATCCAGGAAGATTTCTCAGAGGAGGTGAGGCCAAAGGTGGTGGTTGAAGGGCCACTGGGAGGGCGCTCAGATTTACTCTGCTGAAGGATCTAGGGCAGGGAGTGGCTGGTGATAAGGGGAGAAAGGCAGGCAGGAGCTGGTCCCCAAGGGCCATTAAGGACCAAGCTGAGGAGCTTGGCTTTCCCATCAGCATCGGGGGACAGGGGAGGGTTCCAGACATGTGCATGATATGTGTAGATAGGCCTTTTACCTATATTATTCCATTTGACAGTTTGGGCAATGCAGGAAAAGATGGAGAAAGGCTTTCCCTGGGCAATTGGATGAAGGGGAGGGAATAGTTTGAGGAATATTTGAGAGGTAAAATTAGCAAAATTAGTTAACTGGTGATTTACACGGGTAAAGGAGAGAGAGGAGCCCAAAATGCTGGCTGGGCAAGTGGATGTGGGGGTTTCTATCAGTCCAGGTCCAACCGGGAAAACCCAAACCACTCAGCCTTTAAAATGAGGGGTTAACGTGGGGGTGGAAATGACAAGGGGAAAATTCTGAGGTGTTCTAAATTAAATTACAGCAGCTGGAGAGTAAGAAAAGAGACAGAGCTGTTCGTCTGTTCATGGCTGCGGGCCAGCTACGGGATGACTGCTCACATTCCCTGTACGTCTGCTAGAGGTTCAGATTAATCTCCAGGTGGCTACCTCCGCAGATTATCCCAGCCGGGCACCATGAACTCGGGGAGCCTCTCTTTTCTCGGACTCTGCTATCCCAGAGCTGGCCCCGCTTCACCTTCTCCCCCGCTTTGCCTATAGCTCATGTACATTCTTTCTGATGGCTCCTTCCTTTCTTCCCCCTCCCCGCTACTTGGAGTATAAAAGTGCTTGCAAACTCCAAGACGATGGACAGGTACGTCTTCCGCCTAGCCATGCTGCAGGTGGGTGGACTCACCTCAAGACTGGTCTTCTTTTTGGCTAGCATTTTTGGCTCGATAAAACCTTTCTTCACATCTTTTATGTGGGGAGGCCGGGGGGTCACAGTATGCCCCTCTGGGCGGGGCAAGAATTTGGTGTCAGTGCCAGCACAGCAGCCCCAGTGGGCAAGGGGCTGAGGTGGAGAGGCAGCTTAGGGGAGGCCGGGGATGCGCCCTTTCTGGGCATGGTGAGATTGAAGCGCTCGTGGGGAGATGTCCAGGAGGCAGCAGTGGACCCACGGTTCCGAAGATCAGGGAGAGAGGTCTGCATCCTGCATCTGCACATTTGGAATTTGCCAGCCTACGTGGTGACAGCAATGGATGTGCTCATAGGGTGAGCCTTGTGTTAAACATTCAAATTAGTTTCCCAAATGATTGCCTCGCTTTACACTCCCAAGCGTCGTATACAGGGGCTGTAATCTCTCTCTCCAACAACTAGTCGTCTGATTTTAGCTGTTCTAGAGGGTGCGAAATGTGCCTCGTGGTGGTTTTACTCTGCACGTCTCAGGCGGCCTTCGGGAGGACTTTTATGTGGTCCAGGTGAGCATACTCCAGACAGGCCACTCCGAAGGCTTCTGTGAGGGAATCTGAAGGGGAAACTGGGTGAGGCGGGACAGTGGGTGGCCAAGGCCTCCTCCCAACATCTGGGCCTCGGTTTACATTCTCAAGCAGCATGCAGGCCTTTCAGGCAATTCCTTTGTCGTCTCCTAAGAATTTGCGGGTTACCTCTGAGAGCCTGCGCTGAAGGTGTGAACTGGGAGCTTGACAGAAACCTGGGTTTAAACCCTCAGGTCACACCGCTTGCTCGCTGGCATCTTGAACACTCAAGTTTTCTTCATCTGTAAAACAGGAACAGGGTCTTTTTGTAGGGCTGCCATGAGGATTCAATCAGATAATGTTGGTAAAGTGGCCATCTCAGGATTTGGTACGTATGAGGTCAGCAACAGAAGCGGATGCCATTGGTTTCGTTACGGGGAGAATTAAATTTCGGATGAGAAAAATGGGGTCTGGGTTAGTTAAGAGTCACCCAAAACCCTGCTAACTAGGACAGAGTTGGAATAAACCCCTTCTCCTCATTCTCCTGCTTGTCCTGTCGCCCCCCCACCCCCACTTTTTTTAATCCCTCACTTACAATACATTGTATCAGGCCTGGAACGGTACGTCATTCTTGGAATCATTCGTTGTTTTAGGGCAGGGAGCCAATTCATACAAGGACAAATCTCAATCTCAAGTTTAGTCATGGATTCTCACAAGGAATAGGCTCCTACGGTTTTGTTTGTTCATTTTCTTTTTCAAAAACACACCAGGACTCACGTAATTAACAAGGTGACTTTTGTTCCAATCACACCCATTCTCTCTCTCCATCGCCATTCCCCAATTGGAGGGGGGGAGACATGAAGACAGAGACACAGCAGATAGGAACCTGTGTGCAAAGCTTTGCCTTTGGGGAAAAGTCAGGTTTCCACCCTTTGCTTCTGTGAGAATACCACCAGAGGTCAGGCTAGAAACGTCGCTCTCTCCACCTGCCAGAAGCCAACAAAGCTGCTTCAGGTGAAAGGCATTTTAAAAAATATTACAAAAGCAATGCTGTTTGCAAGCACTCAACCAGAGCCTTAACGTAGTCATCATGGGATGCCGCTTTTGGGCGGGGGGCGCTGAGAATTGCGCAGAGCCCGCAGACACTTTTTGCTCGGTTCCCCCAACTTTACTGGGTCGGCTGCCCTGATCACCTGCGGCCTATGTTTTGGTGACAAAATGCCCTGGGGGGGTGAGACCCAGCCCTCGGTGCCACTGCCCAGCGGCAGGCGAGGACGAGGTGCAGCCACACGCCACCCCAGGTGCGCCGACCGCCCGCACTCCGCGCGCCGGACGGAAGTGCGCGCCCCACGTGCTCTGCAGGAACTGGCCCGGCGCCGGCCCAGGGGGCGGGGCGTCTCCGGCTCTGCGTGTTTGCGTCATCGCGTAAGCTGGCGGGGCCGCGGGCTGGAGGTGACGTTTCCGGCGCGTAAAGGAGCTGTGGGCGGGCCCAGAGAGTAGGGCCGGAGCCGGGCCCGCCTCTTAAAGCTGCAGGGGCCTTTATGAGTTCTGCAGCTCCGGCCTTTGGCCGCGGCGCCTTTAAGTGTCGCCGTGACACGTGTGTGAGGCGCCGAGGGCCCGGATGGTGAGTGTGCGGGGCCCGGGCCGAACAGACGCCAGCGCCGCGGGCTGCAGCGGGCCGGCCGGGACCCGGTAGGCTGGGGCCGGGTCTGGACGGCGCGCTGCCCAGGAGAAGGCTTCGCGTCCAGCCGCGGGGAGGGCTTGCGCCGGGCCTGGGAAGCGGGAAGGTGCGGCTGGACGCGGGCGCACCCCGGGGCGCTCCAGGGAAACGTGGGCGCGTGTCCGTAGGGCTCCGGGGTTCACCGGGAGGGCTTAAGAGCACGCGAGCGGCTCAGGGGTCCGCGGGGAGGGCCCGGGGCCGCGCCGTCTGCTGTGGGTCCAGGGGTCCACGGGGAGGCCCGGGGAGAGTGCGCTCTGACCTGTCCTAGGTCCGCTCTGCTGCCCCCCGCGAACCCCGACTGGCGGTGGAGAGGAGAGCTGCCCTACTGGAGCCCAGGCCGCGGAGGGGGCAGTGGTCTGTGTGGATGTTGGGTGCAGTCGTTACGCACAGAAGCATCCTTTACGCAGGAGCCAGACTTTCTCTGGAATGGCCTAATCAGGAACAGAGTGTTCTGTTTGGGACCGGAGCTGAGCTCCGGTGTTTCCTTTTAGTAAGCGCTGTGGGAAAGGCTCACCCCTGGAGAAGGTAACTTCCCTCATGGTCATTGTCACGGTCGTGGTCGATGTGAGTGGGTACGCGGGTACAAGATGTGAGTTTTTTAAATGCCCGTTGCTTTTGTCGGGCGCTGTTCCGTCCCCCCGCCCCAGGGTCTTAGGAGCCAGAGTAGCGTCCTAAAACAGACTTTCTCTAAGGGATGCCGTGAATAGGTCTCCAAGGAGGGCACGCTCAGTTTCCTCTCTCCTGGCTGGGGACTCTGCGCTGCGGAAGAGCCCGGAGGCCCCCCTCTAAAAGCACCTCCGGGGGCCCCAGCTCTGTCCATCTGAGGCTCCTCCCCTCAGCACGTGGTTGACCCTGTGAGTCTTTGGTGCAGTTTATCTTGGAAAAGGGA